GACAAATGTCTGTACTACCCATCATTCCCATGCTTGCTGAAGCGCCGTGCGTTGCAGCTCCCATAGACACTAGCGCCAGAGTTCCCTCTAGTAAATATTGTAAGAAACTCTATGGTTCAGGTAAAACTCGTGGCTTCGGCCGCTTTTTAGTTTCTTTGTGGATTTTTCTTGAGTCTGACCAACCAGGTGCGTAATGCCAATTGCTGAAAGAAGATAAAATATGAAACCTAGGCTTGCATGACTCGCATATTAGGCATGTTTGCTCCTTTGAGCTGGTTCACCGAAGATGTTATGTGAAAAGTGATTCTATCATCACTTTTCACATATTGATTCTATCACTTGGCAGCTGGGTTGGTGGCAACGCAGCCTTCCGCTGACTGCATTCTCTCTTGCGTGCGCAGGTATCTACGGATCCGGCGCGAAATCACCGCGAATCCGCCGCAGCAATGTAAAGCGGTAATAGAAGTGTGTGCTCCTAGCACGAAGGAATAAACGGACTGGCTGTATCATCACAGTGCCACGTGCCACCTCTGACCAACGCCACCTGTCCATCTAGAACACAACCTTCTTCTGGAAGCTATATAAGCTGGGCTCATCGCGGAATCCTTCACTTGGCTGCTGGGTTGGCGGCAACGCAGCATTCCGCTGACTGCATTCTCTCTTGCGTGCGCAGGTTGGTTGAATTTCCATTACTGAAAGCAGTTTCACTTTTCTTTTTTGCCGCATCCATTGCTGCCAAACCAAAATGCCCTCTTGTGCTGAGTTATCTAGAGACTTGGAATCATTACGCAAAGAAGTTGGAGAGTAGCGTAACAGTGTTGCCATGTTTAATGACATTTTTGAAACAATGAAGTCTAAGCAGGAAAGCCTGATTAAAGAAAATAAAGATCTGTCTCGAACAAACGAGCAGCTAACAAAACAGGTTGCTGAATTGCAGCAATATTCGCGCATAAACAATGTTGAAACTAAAGGTGTTCCGGAGACAAAAGGCGAAAGCTGTGAAGCGATTCTGCAACAGATCGCAAATAAGATTGGTTGTCCTGTGAGCCCTGCTGAGATAGATATGGTGCATAGGGTCCCCGCTAAAAGTGGCTCGAATAATAATGCGCGTTTTTGTTCAGGACAAAAAAAGGTTGAATTTGCTTCAAAGGCCAGAAAAGCGCGTCTGACAACCCGGTCTATTGCCATGATGAATCAGGATAAGCCCATATTTGTCAACGATCCCCTAACACCAGAAAACAAGCAGCTCTTTTCTCAGGCATCGGCACTTAAGAAAGAAAAGCAGTGGCAGTTCCTGTGGGTTGACAACTGTCGCATCAAAGCAAGAAAGTCCACGGACAGCCGAGTGTACCGCATCTCTGGTGTTAGTGGTCTGGCCGTTTTTTCCAAATAGAATTTGAGCATTTAAGCATGATCATTCTGAACCATCATGGCGACACACACTGTCCTCGAACTGAAGCAACTTCTTAGTTCGTTTGTTTCTCATATTTCAATCATGCACTTTAACACCCGAAGCTTACCAAAAAACCTAATGATATGGTTAATATCCTTTCTTTAACCGATCATCACTTTTCGCTCATATGTCTATCAGAAACATAGCTATCTGCAGCTCATGATAACATGTTTTCCATTCCGGGCTATCGTACTGAATTTTTTCATCGCCTCGGTGACTATCAAGGTGGATCAGCCATGTTTATTTCTAACGCATTGTGATATAAATGACGTACTGATATCGCGTTTTCTCTGTCGAAATGTGAATCAGTCTGGCTCAAAATTGACCATGATTTCCTTCCGTCTAACAAAAGAACTATTATTAATTCAATTTATCGGTCCCCATCATCATCTTACGGTGACTTTTGTGTTGAGCTTGATAATATACTAAGCTCGTTTGTTTGCGAAAATTATAACGTGATCATTTTAGGCGACATTAACATTGACATTACAAATATTAACGACGGTTCTTGTGCTCAATACGCTAACTGCTTCATGGGTCATAGGTTGACATCTCTGCTGGATTCTCCGGCACGATGTGCTCCTTCTGGTCGGAACACGCTTATTGATCATATACTCAGTAACGTTATGTTAGTTCAGGAGGCCGGTGTGGTCAATTTTGATCTAACAGATAATTATCCAGTTTTTCTGTTATTAAAAAACAAAGTAATTGTAAAATGAAATGGTCAATGGGTGTCGTTTCGATTCTGCGAAATTCGTTGATTTGGTATCCCGCTTTGACTGGGGGAAACTATCGCAGGAACCTTGTGTTAATAAAGCGTTTAGTACCTTGACCGAGAAACTAACAGGTATCATAAACTCGTGTACATCTGTATCCACCATATCGCGTTGTACTCAGCCCCTAGAAACCCGTGGATTACTAGAGGACTGCTGCGTAGCATAAATAAAAAAGATAACCTTTACAAAAAAGTAAAACTTCAGCCGTTCAACCTATCCCTCAGGACCCGCTTTGAACTCTATTCACAAAATCTTACTGTCCTACTCAAAAAAGCCAAACGAACCTACTATCAAAATAAAGTGCTCGAAAACGGTAATGCCAGTAGGAAAAACTGGAACGTAATTAAAGAATTCTTACATCTTGATCAGCCGGATGCACTTGAGACCGAATTTTCGGATGGCACCAGCGTTCTAACTTGCCCTGTCACCATCGCCAATTCTTTTAATGAATCATTTTTCAGCAACTCAGTATCGACTGTCACTAACTTACCTTCGTTGTCTCGCTTGCCTCACTCTTTTTTCTTAAAACCCACGTCACCTGCTGAGGTTCGTTGCACTATTACAAGTTTGAAGACGACAAGATGTGGCCTGGATTCAATTTATCCAGCTAAAATTAAACTTGTTGCTCTTTAGTTATCTTCTGTTCTCTCTGAGCTTATTAACACCGCATTTCGTTCAGGCATTTTTCCTAGAATCCTCAAACAAGGAAAAGTAATACCTGTATTCCAAAAGGGAGACCGAAAAGTTTTTTTTAATTATCGCCCTATAACAATCCTCCCATTCTTTAGTAAGGTAATTGAGACGCTCATTGTAAATCGCCTAATGGACTACCTCACAAAATTTAACCTTTTGTCACATAAGCAGTTTGGTTTTCGTGCTAAGTTTTCTACCGAATTAGCACTGATTAAACTAGCAGATAGCATAAAACAGTCCATCGATAAGGGGCTCTGGGCAGGGGCGTTATTTATAGATTTAACTAAAGCCTTCGACAATACGAACCACTCTATTTTGTATGCTAAACTTAATTCCTTGGGAATTTGTGGGCCAACTTTAGCCCTTTTACAAAGCTACTTCGCTAACAGAACCCAGGTTGTCAATTATGGCGGTGTTTTATCCTCACCAATAATAACTAACCAGGGAGTCCCACAAGGCTCAATTCTGGGACCTCTCATGTTTCTTATCTACATTAACGACTTACCATCATCACTTAACTCATCTGACTGCATCCTTTATGCTGACGATACCACGATATTTTCTAGTGACAAAGATCTTGACAATCTACTAGCAAAATTAAACACTGATGTCGCGAAACTTGTTTCATGGTGCAAAAATAACTTGTTGAAAATCAACCCTGTTAAAACAACGTTTTTTTGGGACGAGTGAAATAACATAAAAGTTAAGATTCACCTGAAATATACATTGATAACTGAGTCATCACCCCATCAAAGCTCACTACTTTTCCGAGTGTCACATTAGACCCTCAACTCAAATATAACATTTACGTGAATTCTGTCGTCAAGAAGACTGCTTTTGGCATCCGCATACTCATTCGCACAAGGCATTGTTTTCAGCAACACATTCTAAAATCGCTTTACTATGCTTTCATTAACAGTCACCTAATCTACCGCAATTCATCCTGGGCTAATACCTACGCCACACACCTTACATCTCTCATTCACCTTCAGAAAAGAGCAGTCCAAATAATCACACATAGTTCCTACACAGCATCAGCAGCACCCCTCTTTAGCACTCTCGAAATTCTACCAATCATTTCCACCTTTCAACTCAAACTTGGAATTTTATTATTCAGAAGTAGAGTTGGTGACATTCCCACTGACATACTTCCCCTCACACATCTCCACAATACTAATAGCAGACGGTTTTCTGAAATTAGTAACCTTCTGCTTCCAAAAGTAAGTACTAACTACGGCAAAATGACAGCCTTGTTTTCTGCAATTTCTTTCTGGAACTCACTACCATCAATTATTAAATCAAGCCCTCATTACATTGTTTCCGGTGGCATCTAAAACAGTTCTTACTAACAACATGCGACACCTGAATATATGTGTGTATATATATACAAATATTTAGGCCCGTGTGCTCAGATTTGGGTGCACGTTAAAGAACCCCAGGTGGTCAAAATTTCCGGAGTCCTCCACTACGGCGTCTCTCATAATCATATGGTGGTTTCGGGACGTTAAACCCCACATATCTATCTATATAAATATATGTGTGTGTGTGTGTGTTTAAATACAGTTGTATGCATTTATGTGTATGTGTATAGGTTCTGAAGTGACACTGTATTAGTTAGTGATATGTATGTGTTATGTTATAGTCATTTAATCCAATTAGTTATCTCCTGTTTTATTACTTACATGTAAATATTTTGAACTACCATAAGTTTCAATAATGATTTTGATTACGTTCATTTTGTTTTATTCGCTTGCTGTTTTCTCCTTAGTTGCCAATCTTTGTTCTATATTTTTATACATGAATTCACAGGAGGTCCCCCTGACAGTTTTTACTTTGGGACCTCGTTCTGTATTATATCAAAATTTACTTGCACTGTATTGTACTGAATAAAGAGCTTTATCACGGTTCTGAAATTATGTTTACTACAAATACATCAGGACAACTGGAAACTTGAAAATTTGAATGGGACACTACCTACAAACTATTCATTTTGTACACACCATGTTAGCCACGCTTGGTTATCGAAATAAATTTGCTCTCATTGAAACCTTTTGAAAGCACGCCACAAAACCACATAATACAGGAAGATTTACGGAAGTGTTTATTATCGTATTCCCAATTCCTTGGTCTGATCCAGAAAAATATAAGGCACATATTACAGTAATAAAAGGAGACCTAATGCAATGCTGCTCTTCAGCGAAGCTTTGCACGGTACTGGTTGTCGAGTTGTAGAAAAGACACAGCCGATCACTGGAGTAAATCAGCCTACAAAAAAAGAGAAATCAGCTACAAAAGTAGTACCAACCATGTTTAGTGTCCTCGAGCTGTATCTTCTCATAAACATTCTTTATAATATAATCAAATCAGCATGTGTTTTTTATGTATATTTACACTTTGTCGATACAGGTTATTCGAGGTATGGAGAAAAGCAATCAGTCAATAGTGTAGTAATTACTCATCCTCTCCCCAGCTATTGTTCAATGTATAATAAAGAAGCACCAGGTTTGAAGCACTGAAATTCTAGCTAGAAACAGTTACGCCTGCTTCATTCAGACGCCAAATTTTGACTGAAAGAAACAGAGCGATTTATATAACAAGCAACAGTGGCACAAAGCTGTACAAGTAATACTGGTGAAGAACAGTGACATTCCTCATTCATTGAATAGAGCATACCAAAAAATATCTTCACAGCTGAATTTCACGAGGTAAAATGTAGTTGTGAATGTCAGTGCTACCATGTGGTCCTCTTTACATTAGTTGCAGTTCAATGAGATATGCAGTGTTAAGTTGATGAGATGTATTAAACAATGTTAAATGAAAGCCCTGTGAGGTTGCACTGTGAATCCTATAGTACAAACAACTGACAGCACCTCATGCTTAGTACCATTACTCTCTGCATTATGACATTGTACACACCAAAAACACCATAACCCGCATTAAACCCCAATAGCTTACCCTGTCCGCCTCGACATAACCCGCCATCCACAGTGTCGCCTGCAAATTCACTGCATGCGTTAGCTGACATTGAGCTAATATTGGATGTGTAGAATACAGAAATTATACACAAGGTTCATTCTTAAACGACCCTTATTATTTGCTGTTGTGAAAGGCATTACTTTATTCTACGATCCAGATAACTTCAATTTAACATAACACTTACAATGTTGCGTGAGGCGAGGATCGAGTCATATAACTCTCTTTTTCTTTCACATACCAGGAACTTCTATTCCACAAGATGCATCAACACAATTTGACAGAGGCTGTTTTATAATGCAAAATATTCAACAGGATAACTTGTTAAACATGAGGCTCTCAATCGTCTTACGACGTTGATGCACTGGCCCATTCCATGCACAAGACCGGCAATAACGATTCTCGAATGCGTATTTAATGGGGGGGGCAAGGATACCCATAGTTTGTAACTTACCTACTGAAAGACTACCTAGGGGTTTCTTTTTTTTTTTTTTTTGCTGACCACAGTTGTTACTAGAAGGTTCGGAATCATTGGTGGAAGGGGTCCAAGAGATTGAAATGCCAGATGCCTCAGAGGCTGATGGCAAGGATTCAGTAGCAGCACAAGCTTCGTTAAGATAATAGTTCACTTATGCTGAATTGCAGGAACTTATTGCCACTTGTGGCAATTAAAATATAGAGACACCTTTTGCGCTTCTCTGTTGATGAAAGGAACACTTGTCGAAAGGTCGTTTTCGCGCACATGCCAACCGTATGCCCTGGTCTCATTATGTAACATTCTGAGCTTGCACACAAAAAAAATTATTAATGCGACAGTTGCACGCATAATATGGCCCAAATCAGCCTCGAGCGATGCCTCTGTTGCCTGGCAGTGTGGACGCTGGCGGCTGCGTGTCCCGTATGAGGAAGGCGTCCTGTACGACAGGCGGCGCGATCTCCAGCAGGCGGAACTGAAATGCTCTCAGCAGGCCGTCAGGGCGGTACGCGAAGCGCGGCCTCTGTGCCAATACAGCAGTCTCCATGGCGTCCACCACTTCGTGGATTTCGGTGCGCGATTTGAGCAGTTCTCGCCGTAGATACTGGCGGCTCAGCTCGTAGTAACGCTGGCCGTAGTCCCGCCGCACTTCTTCGCTCGTCTCCTGCCACAGCTTGTCCATGGCCGGCAGAAGTATAGCCGTCAGCTGTCAGGTTTGTCCTAGGATCAAGGGATGATAAAAAATAGATTTCTATCACAGTGAAAGTGTGCTCTAAAGACAAACCAGGGAGAGGAAAACCATGAGGGTCATAAAAAATATAATATGCCGACAGACCTGCATGGAACGGCCAGCACTGTCGCAGTGAAAGCTAGATCAGCGGCATTTCAGGGCCTTTTTATCAGTACATGTCCAATTCTCGTCCTGATGGTAACAGTACTCACCACGATCATAGTGACCCGAAATTGGCTGTTGTTAACGTTTTAATTCCCTTGCCTTCAGAAATTGCCAGTGTGGTATGTTGGCAAAACTCTAAATGTAAAACCTGATTGCCCTGCGACATTGCTTGAATACGCGATGCACAAGCAGAACAGACACGAGATCGCAATATTAGTGCATATGAGCATGGCCGGAAGTGAGTGGCAAGTCGGAAACGCCGTATATATGGTCAACTGTGTTTAGGATGTCAGTGTTCTGCATATTACGAAGAGTTCCAGATAAGTAACTCCTACATTTTCACAGTTATCGCTTTCAGTACGTCCTCATATTGTGCACGACTTGGTTATGTCTAGCATTGGAACTCGTTGTTTGCATTAAGTCTGTGCAAGGAGATCGTCAGAGTGTCAATTAAATTATTATAAATATTCTTCTGTTATTATTGTGCCTTAAGAAAAAGTGCTTTGTATATTGAGAGCCTAAATAGTCCTGACGTCAGACATGATTTTGGCGCAGTTCTAATGCAGCATTTGAATGGCGATCCAGTCATGTCTGTGTTTATGCAGTCCGAAAATTTCGTAGTGGCACAGGTAGCGGCCAGATTCACGGTGGTTTGTCACAAACATGGCGCAAAACTGACAGTCTTCTCCAGAATGCACTACAGGGAATGTACAAGACAGGAGTGACAATGGAGATGTTGACGTGCGACTTTTTACGTTTTTCATTGTCTAGGAGACCCTTTTCAGCAAACGAATGTGCAGTCCGACGGTGTCGTATTTGTTAATCCTGACCCCCTCATAGTTTATTATTTGCGTCTCAGTGCTTGATATTTCTACTCATTGTCTATAGAAGGAACGTGAAAATTGCCTTCATACTTACGCATACATATTGGGCTCGATGGACACAACGCGGACGCCAAACTTCTTCATCTCCCTTCGGAGGCCATCAGCAAAGAACCGTGCCGCGCACTTGGACATGGAGTAGGCCACCGAGAAGGGAATAGAGAAGTATCCTGCGTACGCCAAAGAATAACAAATAATCTATCAAGGTGCCCACCAGTTATGAATACTAGCTAAAACATGTCAGCCTGTCCCCCTTAAGTCGTTTTTAAAATAGAGCATTCGGAAACATTCAATGACCCCAATGAAAGAGGTGAGAGTGGCTCTCGAATCTGTTATTAGTTAAACTTGGGCAATCTTGTGACGTGACTATGCTAATTGTTCGTGGCCCTCTAGCGTAGCGAGCCCACCTAATGGATTTCTTAAGTGTGTTTCTTGTGGAAACTGTTACGAATGCTATGGCTCGAATTCTAGCTTACGGCATATTATTATCTACCGCAACGAAAACCAGCAGGTCACGAAGCCAGGGAAGCAGTCGAGGACGTTAATTGTACTCTCTAACGTGTACTGTATTAATTGCGATAAAGTGAGCTATGACGGCGAGTATTGGACACTTATTTTGTCAGATGGCGTCACGTAGCCAGTGAACTTTTACCGAGCGGTTCAATAAGCGCTCGAACGCCACTTGAAGGCACCAACTCTACCGGAATGAGAACCTCGCTATGAATGAATGAAGCAAGGGAATACAACTTGTTGCTTTCGTTCCACACAACCATAATGAGAATCAGTGGCTTCTGAAACCAAGGTAGTTGTAGGTAGATGTTCAAATTGTACCGGAACAATTGTTGCATAGATGTGAAGAAAGTAGAGAGAGCGAAGAGACAACGTCCTCAAGACTTTTTTTTTATGGAGAGTACGAGTTCTTTTCTGTGTTGTTGCATGAGAGTACGGAAGCCAACGTCACAGCCTCGGCAGTACATTTCTCGTGGAGTCACGCGCGCTAACAACAGCCAAGAGAGCTATGGCGGCACCCAGAACGCTTTGAGTGAAAAGGTCTATACATTCCTTCCTTCTTCACCAGCTCGTTTTTGTTTTGGTGCTTCTTTTTTTTGGGCGGGGTTGTAAACAAAAAATGACCCCACCTCGCCGGAGGGAATCGCATAGTGATCCATAACGGCGTTCCGCGCGTGAAAACCAGCGTTAAAAGAATAATGTTAAGAATAAATGCGGTATGCGTTTTCAGCTCTAGTAGCTAGCATGCACGGTTAAAAAAATTGCCCGCAGCTTCCCTCGGGGGAACACTGAGGAGGATGCGGAGCATATAATTGGTTAACGGGGTGTTAAAGTGCGACTTACTTGGGTCGATGGCTAAATTGGTTAACGTGGTTGTGAAATGGGGTGTTAAATTGCGACTTACTTGGGTCTCTGGCTAAATTGGTTAACGTGGTTGTAGGAGGGTTGTTAAATGAGTGAACACGTACGACACGTATGCGAAAGGGCGGTGTTTATTTATTGCGACGAACTTTGAGCACGATGGCTTTTTGGTCGGTAAAGTGAAGAGTGAGTGGATCGGGTTGCAGCAATCGTAGGTCGAAATTTGCAAAGACGTGGTCGATGCAGGTTCCGCGAATGGTGTTCGGCTGGTGGTGTTTGCAGTCGTCGTGCGTTGCGCGTTTCAGCGAGTGTCGCGACGCCATGTATTCGACTATCCAATCGTCCTTGATGACGTCGACGTTGATGTCGCCAACTAGCATGAACGGTCGATGTTGCGGTTGTTGTTTTCTGTAATCTTGCACGGCCTCGTCGACGTACTTTTGTACGGCGGCACGAGAGAGGTTTGGCGCGAGGTAGATCGTCATGACGTCGACGCCACAGACGGTAGCAACGCAGTGCTCGCCGTTGGCGCGTTGTTGAACGCCGGGCTGTAGTCGGAGGTCAATGAAGTAGTCGTCGTCGTTGTCGACGTCACGCATGCACTGTCAGCTGTCGAATGTTCGAGAAGGGGGAGAAGCGCGACGGCGCATGCGCGCGCGTCAGCTGCCGATGTTCTCGAAGCGTGACGGCGCTTGCGCGCTACATTATACAGCTAGCGAATGTTCGTGAAGAGGAGAAGCGCACGCGGTGTGTAGAGGAGGAAGGGTGCACAGATGGTGGAGGAGTGAAGCGCGCGCGGTGTGTAGAGGAGGAAGGGATGCACAGATGGTGGAAGAAGGAGGGGGAAGCTTGCGGACGGCGCCGCACTACAAGCCTCGAGTATTAGATGCTCCGCATCTAAAACACTATGAAGTGAACGGAACAAACAGCGTTCTCGGATCGGCGCTTCACAGCGGCGTCCCGAGCACACATTGCCGGATGTTCTTGGGAGACGCCCAGCCAGCGAACCACTTTGCTTCCTCCGTGCAGCGAACGGCCGAGAGTGAGGCGCCAGTGGACGGGAATGTGGTGCGCAGGGAAGAGAGAGAGCGGAAAGCGAGAGAACAGTGAAACACTTCACCTTTACTCTCTACCACCACATGCATCGGTTACTAGAGGCGATGAAACGCGCGCGCGCGCGCCCGCAGCTGCGGCTATCAAAGAGAGAATGAGAGGGCAGAGATACCGCATGCAGGCGCGCGGACACCGCCGTGGACTCCGCGAACACCCGATGCCTGACATAGCCCGACTGGGAAATGCATTCGCATTAAAAAAAACAGACGTACAAAATTTTGTTTGTAAAGCAGCGCTATCTCTTACGGCCCTTAGCCTAACCCACTACACTCGTTTTGTATACATTTTCCAGGCTCTTGTGCCTTGATGTGTAACTTTGGTTAACTTTGCGTTCCGCGCGTTGCCAAAGTCACGTAGAGCCCGACGTGTGGGGGAGATTTCCTCCATCAGATGCTGCAACAAACCCGACATATTGGATCTCAAAGAGGCAATTGCTATTCACACCAATTTTACGAAGTGTGTAACTTCAATTTTAACTTCTAACATACCGCTTTGACCGTTTTCTTATATATAACGCCTAGCTGAACCCAATCGACCCATTTTCTGCACGTTTTATTTTTCATCGAAATTTTCGAACAACTCGCACTAACGCAGGACAACGTGGTTTCGAAGACAGCTAAGAATTGCACTCGATGTTCGTGTCACAAAAAAAGTTTGGGACAAATATGAACTAATAATTCTCCAGAAACACCCGTTTCTTTTAGATGAGAGGCAGCTCTTTGACCAGCCTGTGTAACACTGTCCGCCTGTGTATCCGTGCCAACGCGCCCCACCACATTTCCCATGTCGCAGTTGTTGGAACGATGCCAAGTAGGTCAAGTCGCAGCAGCTCGTTGACAACAGTCTCTCCTTCACCCGCAGCAGCTGCCGGCTCCTCCCAACACAGCCTAGGTGGTGTTGCTCCTCCGCGCGCTCGCAACGCACTTCTTTTTCGCTTCACCCTCTACACAGCCCACAATGCTCAACCACACGCCGAGTGTAAACACCCTTGCGGCTAGTTTATCTGCTATGAAACTTACATGAAACCTATTTCACCTCCAGTGTCTTTGCGTTTAAAGAAACGTTTACTCGAGCAAAGGCTACACGAAGTTTCACTTCAAACCATCGTTCCAGCAACCGCGTCAACGCCCGTTTCAGCCGGGTCAAAGCCGTGTGCACCGCCGCAGCTTCTCATTCCATCATGGTTCCGTTCGGGTAGATGGCCCATAATTTTTTCAGCTGCTTTACGCAAACAGAGTCTTTTGAGACCCCACTAAGTGCCTTTGCCAAAACGTCGGCTTTAATAAACTCATATTGTTAGATAATTTGTTGCTCTGTAATGCAAGTGATTTCTGAATGTGAACCACCATGAAAGAGCGACATTCGCGTGATATTGCGCCATAAAACGTACGTGACAACGAGACAGGCAACATGAATACTGTATTCAGCCGCCGTATGAAATACGATTACATTTGCTTCACTTCAGTTACCAATCACTTTCTCAATGATAACATATTGGGGAGTATTGCGAAAGAGGCCATATTTTATAAATTTGAACTGTTTTCATTACAGGCCCCGTGCATTGCAGCTACGCGAACAGAACAGTGCAGCTACGTGAAGTGGTTGCTCGCAAGTGATCTGCCAGAAACACTTGCATCTGCCAGAAACACTTCTTAAGAAATATTCAATCAATGCGACGTTGCGATACCCCTTATTATGTTGACACGTATGATGTCAAAATTAAGCTACAATAACTGTGGCAATGATCTGACGAACTCAATAAAGTTATCAGTGGAGTCCTAAACGATGTGAAATCCCGTCGTGTGTTTGTAGGGATTTCCCAAACAGCAACTACAAGCGCGTATGCTGGCCATACTCACCCCATAGACTGGTTGTGATGACAACGCGTCCTCCCTTGGCCCTGCGCACCATGGGAAGGAAGGCGCGCACAGTTCTTGCCACGCCCACTGCGTTCACCTCAAGCATGCGACGCATCGGTTCTAGCGAGCCCCACTCCAGCTCAGTGGCCCAGATGACAGCCCGCGTTAGCCACCAAGGCCCACAGCTGGGGGACCTCGGCGACACTGCCGTCCTGGTCACCGTTGGGAACATCTCCAGTTCTGATCGCCTTCTTTCTGCGTCCGTCCTGCATATATTGCCACGTGGTTGTGATAGTGAAGGAAGGTAGACGCAGCTAATGAAGATGAAAAATAAGTACCCTGCAAAAGAGGGAACACTCAAAGTGCAGAGGAAGCGGCAATCACAGACGTCTGTCATCGGTAGTCTGATAAGTGGTAAGGAGGCTGGGCATGACACGTGTGCCGCCGATCAAAGACTCCAGCCTTATCAGTGTGGCCGGGTTAGTTACAGAGCTCTACTATTCGCGTTGGCTGCTGCTCATTCTAAAAAAAGACCCACATCAAGAATAAGCAGACAGAAATAATCGCATCATGGCGCACGCAACAGCAAAGATGTGGTCATATTTGGGCCACCTTCGTGTTTTTTAGCTTTCCTTTCTTGTGCGATACAGAAGTGTTTTACTTCTGGACCCCATGGAAGTATTGTGCCATATGTTGCTTGTGTGCAAATATTCACCACCGCTGTATCGTTCAGCCAATATACATAATGATCGATCCCGCAATGGCTTAGCTGGGATCGTGCGTAGCTCACCTTCACTGGCCAGAATCTTCTTGACCTGCTGCACGGCGTCTTGCACCTGCCTGTCACTGGTGACGTCCATGGGGGCTATCACGTGCATGCTTCCTTTCCCTTCTTCCGCTGGTGTGGCGGACAGCGCTTGGAGCTTGGTGGCACCGAGACTGTCCGGCAGGAGGCAGCCGGCGAACACACGCATTCCGCGGGCGTGCAACCGCATAGCCAACTCCAAGCCAAAGCCGCTGTCGCAGCCTGCGTGCAGAAAGCAAGACAAAGGTATTACGTCGCTCAATGGAACGTCATGAAAGCTAAAGCGGTGCGAAATCATGGGACAGGGAATGTCCGCTGGAGTCACGGTAACAAAAGTTGAATCTATCGTCGTCAAGATAACGAAGTTGGCACAGAAACAATACGGTGATTCGGCCCATAGTAGGAACATACTCACATTAACTGGTTCGCACTGGCCCACGGATGCGACGAAGAATACGTACAGTGGCGGCCAAAGTTTTGCGCGCCACAGGAGCGAGTGTGAAACAGCACCACTGCGCATTCTGATGGCTGCCTGCGAAACTCAAAAGCCACCTAACGCGGCGCGCACCGAGGACTGCGAGTACAAATTACATGTTTTCGTCACGATATCGTCGCTCGATGCATACGTGACGATAGCATGAGTGACACCTTGAGCTTATTCTTGCGTTCCGGTGAACGCGCAGTTGAACGGAGCGATCGAGCATGCCGGTAGGTAAAAAAGGGCGCGCGTGCGCAGTGCGCGTTTTCGAGCTTCGCAGGCAGCCGTGAGAAAGCGCGTCGATGCTGTTTGATAGAGGGACTTTAGTTTGACAACAGCTCCCGTGGTCCACAATATTTTGATCGCCACTGTACACATGGAAGAGCGCAAGCACCAAACGGTGGCCTTACGCAACTTTGTTAAGATGAAACAGGCAAAAACATTTTGCCTCGAGGTAGGCAAGTCTACCTGTCGAAACAATGGCGTACACTAAGTCTCCGCAGATTGCGGTTGCCCGTTATTTCCGTCATTTAACGGGAGCCGGCAATAAGTAAGCGTATGAGGCATGCGCCGTGGCCTATACGCAAAACTTTGCGCACGCTATTTTTAAACTCGTTCTTATCTCGACAACAGTGCCTCACGGTTGGTGGCTTGTGTGAAGCTTGCTGGCAACTGTACATGAGGCAGTAATACAACGCGTGCGCAGGCTAACACGTGCTTTTTCGGAACTCTTGTAAGTGGACATGATTTTGTTGCGCACGTGTTCTTTTCTTTTTCATCATATGATTGAAATTCTTAGCACTTTTTTAAGTATCACGTCGGTACCGCCCATCCACTTTATTTCGCATCATTTACTTTTGGCTAACACTTTCTAGCAAAGGAAAAAAACTGGTGGAGGTGAAATGCGAAAAGCACCCCTCTATTTAAAATTATGTGCTCATTGAACACCAGTGAGTAGATATTAATCCTGATCTCACTATTGTGGCCTCACTCAAAATCACATTTTGCTTTTGTCGCGAAACATTACATAACTGTTTAGAATTAATGAAAAAAACACTGTTTCCTAACTGATGTACCATACCGTGTAAAAAATTTCCTGCGCTTTGGAACCATATTAAGGTATCCGCTATATTACATATCCACAATATCAAGGTTCCCGCTCACAAAAAAAAGTTTTCAGGCATTGTATAAAAATTTCTCTTTGTATACTGCAACTACGTTTATATCGAGGAAAGCGGAAAGTTTGAAAGATATCTGAAAGACCACGTGAATGATGCCAGGAAGATCAAAAAGACATCCAACGCACTCACGAAACTCGTGCCTCATACAATCACAACATTAACTGGCTAAAGCAACCCTATTCGCAAATGAAAAAAACTGGTGTTTGTTGCTTCAATATCTGTAATCTCTTTTTATGCAGATTTCGAAAAAAAAAAACGCTGAACAGAAGAGGAGGCATTCTACCACCAGCTACGTCAGGCGTCTCAACAGCGTTCTAAAACGGACACAAGCCCGCGTCTCTGGGCCGCTTTATTGTAATCGAAGTTACCATACAATAGCTGAAACGTCATTTTTTATTGTTTAGATCTTTATAGTTTTGGTTAGTGCTCATTTATTTCGTCTTTTCTTTATTAAGGTATCCTACCTATTTGAATGAAACCAGCTGTTTGCGAGTCAACATTTTGCACTACCTACAGTTCTACAGCGGCTTCTGAGGTGGCGAACTATTTTCTTCCTAAGCAGCACAGAGTGTATGGCACAGCAGTTGTTGACAGTCACTTGTTGCAAGAGCTGTAGAAGTCTTTGTTTTGACTGACGCTGCTATTTTTCTTTCACAAATGGGCCTATCTTATGTGCTACTTAACCCTTCGTAAGTATTGGTAGTCCTTCATAGAGTTCCAATGAGGTGGTGTTTATGCCACAATATCTTCAAAGCAGCTGACGCACGCTGTCAGTTGCTTTGCGTGTTACGTTTGTCCAAGTGAATTCTCGCTGCCTCTTTGCTAGAAATGTTAAGATCATCGACTTATTGCTGTTTTATTACGCCCAATTAGAAAACTGACGCAGCAATTACATAAACGAAAAATGTGGAAATCAGAATGGCAAGCAACTAATCGTTATGTCATCGTATTTGTTTCTTACGACACGTTGAGTTGTTCGTGCCCTAACGCATTTACATAACAACTGCATTCACAAATGAGCGAGTTAGTTCTGATTATTATCTCACTTATGTATCATTTGCAAAGCAGTCTAACCTTATTAATCACTCCGTGGTAACAAGTGAAACATGATGCTGCTAAGTTTGAGGAAGCGGGTTCTATTCCCTGTCAGTGCGTCCCCTAATGGCAAGGCAAAAATACAAAGAAAAAGACTCCGTTAACATCGAGCTGTGTGCACTTCAAACAAGAAGTGTTCAACCTTAATCCTGAGGCTCCGACTAAAATATACCACGTTGTCATATTCAAAAGTGGACTCGCAACACCGCGTGAAATAATTATTTGAATGTTCGTTCATTCACTATTGTGATCAAACATGTGTGGACACTTCCGTTGCACACCTGCTACCAACGTCAACGTCGTTATACATCGACATTTGTTGCTGCCACGTTCAATGCTTCGCTCTTTGCGTATTTGGTCAGATTTTCCAATTTTTAATAATTTATCTATTACCCTCACAATGCCGATTCATGACCCAAACAGGGTGGGCCATCGAATGAAAATAAAACACAGACACGAGAAACAATAATCAAACAACATCGCCTAATTCCCTGTATTCCAATTGGCAAACCGAGGACTGCGAGTACAAATTACGTGTTTTCGTCACGATATCGTCACTCGATGCATCCGCGACGATAGCATGAATGACACCTTGAGCTTATTCTTGCGTTCCGGCGAATGCGCAGTTGAACGGAGCGAACGAGCATGCCGGTAGGTAAAAAAGGGCGCGCAGGCGCAGTGCGCGTTTTCGAGCTTCGCAGGCAGCCGTGAGAAAGCGCGTCGATGCTGTTTGATAGAGGGACTTTAGTTTGACAACAGCTCCCGTGGTCCACAATATTTTGATCGCCACTGTACACATGGAAGAGCGCAAGCACCAAACGGTGGCCTTACGCAACTTTGTTAAGATGAAATAGGCAAAAACATGTTGCCTCGAGGTAGGCAAGTCTACCTGTCGAAACAATGGCGTACACTAAGTTTCCGCAGATTGCGGTTGCCCGCTATTTCCGTCATTTAACGGGAGCCGGCCATAGGTAAGCGTATGAGGCATGCGCCGTGGCCTATACGCAAAACTTTGCGCACGCTATTTTAAAACTCGTTCTTATCTCGACAACAGTGCCTCACGGTTGGTGGCGTGTGTGAAGCTTGCTGGAAACTGTACATGAGGCAGTAATACAACACGTGCGCAGGCTAATACGTGCTTTTTCGGAACTCTTGTAAGTGGACATGTTTTTGTTGCGCACGTGTTTTCTTTTTTATCATATGATAGAGATTCTTAGCACTTTTTTAAGTATCACGTCGGTACAGCCCATCCACTTTATTTCGCATCATTTACTTTCGGCTAACACTTTCTAGCAAAGGAAAAAAACTGGTGGAGGTGAAATGCGAAAAGCACCCCTCTATTTAAAATTATGTGCTCATTGAACACCAGTGAGTAGATATTAATCCTGATCTCACTATTGTGGCCTCACTCAAAATCACATTTTGGTTTTTTCGCGAAACATTACTTAACTGTTTAGAATTAATGAAAAAAACACTGTTTCCTAACTGATGCACTATACCGTGTAAACAATTTTCTGCGCTTTGGAACCATATTAAGGTATCCGCTATATTACATATCCACAATATCAAGGTTCCCGCTCACAAAAAAAAAGTTTCCAGGCATTGCATAAAAATTTCTGTTTGTATACTGCAACTACGTTTATATCGAGGAAAGCGGGAAGTTTGAAAGATAACTGAAAGACCACGTGAATGATGCCAGGAAGATCAAAAAGACCTCCAACGCACTCACGAAACACGTGCCTCATGTAATCCCAACATTAACTGGCTAAAGCAACCCTATTCGCAAATGAAAAAAAAACGGGTGTTTGTTGCTTCAATATCTGTAATCTCTTTTTATGCAGATTTCGGGAAAAAAACGCTGAACAGAACAGGAGGCAATCTACCACCAGCTACGTCAGGCATCTCATCAGCGTTCTAAAATGGACACGATCGCGTCTCAGGGCCGCTTTATTGTAAGCAAAGTTACCATACAATAGCTGAAACGTCATTTTTTATTGTTTAGATCTTTATAATTTTGGTTAGTGCTCATTTATTTCGTCTTTTCTTTATTAGGGTATCCTACCTATTTGAATGAAACCAGCTGTTTACGAGTCAACATTTTGCACTACCTACAGTGCTTCAGTGGCTTCTGATGTGGCGAACTATTTTCTTCGTAAATAGCACCGAGTGTATGGCACAGCAGTTGTTGACAGTCACTTGTTGCAAGAGCTGTAGAAGTCTTTCTTTTGACTGACGCTGCTATTCTATTTTTTTTTCACAAATGCGCCTATCTTATGTGCTACTTAACCCTTCGTAAGTATTGGTAGTCTTTCATAGAGTTCCAATGAGGTGGTGTTTATGCCACAATATCTCCAAAGCAGCTTACGCACGCTGTAAGTTGCTTTGCGTGTTACGTTTGTCCAAGTTAATTCTCGCTGCCTCTTTGCCAGACATGTTAAGATCATCGACTTATTGCTGCTCCAATACGC